TGCTTTCTTATAGCCTTAACGAAGTATAATTTCATTTTGGATCGATTTTCAATTCTTTTTTAATATACCTATTTGTAACAAAACATGTCTGGCCCGGGTAAAATTAAGTATTCTTGTTCAGCTTCGAATTGTTTAAATAAGTATTATTTTAATATTCAGATGGCTGGTTATTCAAATAAAACCTTTTTTTAATTTTCCTTTCGATATTAAAATTCGCGAGAACTGGTTCAAGAATTTAAATTTATCTTTAGATAATAAAATTCGCTATCTTTGTGAAGATCATTTTTGCCAGATTTTTTTAGTAAAATTGCTTCAAAACATTAACGACTAGTTGCAAATTCTGTACCAATTTTATTAGATAATAGTACATCCAGTTCAACTAAATCCAACTATACCCAACCCAACTAATTTTAGACCAATTAAAAATAACTTTTACTTTTATAAGAATGGGCAACATTTTGATAGGAGAAATTGTTCAATAATATGTAAGTATGTACACTTTTTTGTTTTTATAGGAAACACCTGACACCTGCATCAAAATTTGGTGCAGTCTTCCAAGAATGAGAGGATAATACTATTAATGTCATTTACAGTTATTGGTATTTGTACATATTATGTAGGTAATAAATGTTTGAATGCACCTTACTTTTATTAAATGACTAAACTATACCTGTGTTTCAAATATTTTAATATACATATTTTTAATTTATATTTTTTGGAGTTTTATTACTTAAAAAACTAATATTTATGTTAAATACAGTATTTTAATGTAAATATTAGTTTTTTAAAGTAATGAATGCCAAAAAATGTGAGTAAATGACAATGGACATTTGAATGAGCCGCATTTAGGCTCGTCTTTTTAATTTTCTTCTTTTATGCTGCCTCAACTGTCAAGTTAATCAGCCAATTGTGTAGCGGGCCATGGTGGCGCCAAATAGTATGGCCGGAACTAAGCACTTGTTACCAATGCCGTGCCTTTAAACGTTTTATCTTTTAATATTAATTTATCTATAGTCCGGTCCGCACTCCACAGTATGACCATGGCATAATAAACAATCGGCAGGCTAACTTGTCTTGGCGGCAACGCTACGCGCACACCGCCATTTTGGGGTCCAACCTCTCAATCAAGCCAGTGGCGTCACTGTCGTCGTTTATATCGACAAAATCTTTAAATACGCTTTGATCCGACCCTGACTAAGACCCCCGAATGGCGTCGTCAAGGTCAAATTTTCTTAGTATAAAATTTGTATGCGATCAGCGGAGAGTGGGCCTGCCGATTGTTTTTTATGCCGTGGTATGACCACCCACTCCGCCCGTAATGCGCTAGTTCAGTGTGATGTCATTTTGGTTCCACTGACATTTAATTCTAACCAGACTTTTAACAAACACATCAATAAATTTGACATATACGTTTTCACTGTTTTTATTTTATTTCAAAATATTGTTTACAGGTCATAAAAAATAGTTTAAAGATATGTAATTGGTATATTTGATACATGCTATCTACTTACTTTAGGAATATATTTATAAAAGTGAAAAAACGATATAATTTAGGTAAACAAAACGAACAAAACGCACTCAAAAAATCTACTGTCACTTTAATTGTCAGTGGAACCATAATTACATCATCACTGAACTAGCGCATAGGTACCTATGAGGCAACTCGTTAACACCCGTCGGTGGTGAAGCGATCTCGGCTCCAATCAAAACAATGTTGTCAGCTTGGAAAAATTTTCTATAACATTTTATTGGAAAATTTTTCTATAAAATATTTTCGGAATATTCTTTAATAATTTTTTTATGTTTTTTTTTTTTTTGATAATTTGAGTAATTGCTGCGACCCCCCCCCCCCCTGTATCCGTCCTGGCCTTGACAACACTACAACAAACAAATACTTGACTATGACCAGACAGAATCTGCGCCTGATCACAGGAATTCTAACTGGTAATTGCCAAGTACGGAAACATTTCCATATCATGGGGCTGTCAGAATCTGCTCTATGCAGGAGGTGCGAACAAGAAGATGATACCATCAAGCATATCCTCTACGATTGCACGACACTCTCATTTATTAGATTTGTGTTCGGCGAGCATCGGTTAACAACGGCCGATATAAGAGAAGCACCTCTTGGCGATGTTATACATTAATTCTGTAAGTTGGCTCACAAGCTAGGAGGTGCCTATCCATTTAGGAGGATGCACAATGGGCCTAGTGAGGCGTGCCATGGGGTAACCCACCGTTCACACGTTACAAATACTTATTGGTTTGACTGAATTTAAAAAACTCTGTCTCTATTAGTTTTACAGTGACAGTTAAAGCAAAGAATACCTACCCAAGAAGCGAAACTGAATTAGTTTTCGTATGTACCAAAGCATGGGAACTTAATACACTGGAAAACGTATAAAAATTAATTAATTTTTTGTGGTTTGGTTCATAAGAATTAAACACATACTAAAGTAACAATGATAAAAAATTCTTACTATGTTCATTATGTCATATTTGACAATCTATTGATTATTTTAATAAGAAATAAGTACTGTAGGTACAATAGTGATAGTCACTACACAATAGCGAAAGCAGATGATCTGGTTATTCTGCAAATAGGGAATTTTGAGAACACTTATGGATCAGTGGTGCAAGGACCATTTACTGTTTATCAATCCCAAGAAGACAGAAATGGTCCTTTTCACAAGAAAGAGGATGAAAATTAAATTAGAACCTACAGAGCTCCTAAACACAAAACAAAATTTTTCAACAGCTAAAGTACCTAGGTAGCACTTTGACAACAAGTTAACATGGAACTCATATTTAGAGAACAGAGTCAAGAGAGCATACATTACTTAAGAAAAATGCCGCCGAACCGTAGGTCGCACCTGGGGTATCTCCCCCAGAGTCGTCACATGGATTTACATGGTCATCATAAGACTTATGCTAACATACGGTGCAGTTGTCTGAGTACCGAAAATCCAAAATAGAACAAATTCAAATAACAGCATGTCTCAACATGACAGAAGCTATGAAAACCACATTAACCAGAGCCATGGAAGTCTTTCTTAGTCTCGCTTCCAAGATATATCTTCCATAAGCCATATGAAGATATAACAACAAATTGAAGAGCCGAAAGTGGCAGGTACGATTTATATCTACACTGACGGTCCTAAAACCAAACAATACTTAGGATATGGAATATAAACCAATTCCTTAAACCTCAACATAAAATGGGCTGTGAGCAATAGTGCCAATGTAGTTTAAATCGAGCTCACAAAGGTTCTCATAGCAGCAAAAGAAATCACCAGAAACAATATCATTGGTAAGAACATGTTTATCTATACAGATAACAGATAAGAACTATTTGTCCTGAACAGTCTACGAATTTACTCAGGGTTGGTACTAGAATGTCACGGAGCTTTGGAAAGAGTATCCATCCAACAAAGTGGTTACCTTAAGATGGATCAAAGGTGACGACACATCGACAGGTAGCCTTCTTGCTGATTCACTAGCCAAGAAGGCGGCCAACCAAATACTTTTTGGACCTGACCCTTCTATTGGACTGACAACATCGGTAGTTACAGACCTAATTAAAGAATATTTCCTTGTGAAATTGAAGGAAATATAAGATGAAACAAGAAACTACAAAGTTACCAGGGAGCTTTTAAGTTATACTGACAACACTACAACAAACGAATACTTGACTATAACTAGACATAAACTGCGTCTGATCACAGGCATTCTGACTGGTTATTGCCAAGTACGGAAGTATCTTCATTTTGTGGGGCTGTCAGAATCCTCACCATGCAGGGGGTGCGAACAAAAAGATGAGATCATTGAGCATATCCTCTACGATTGCCCGTCGCTCTCATTTATTAGAAGATTTGTTTTTGGCGAGTATTGGTTAACACCGGCCGATATAAGAGAAGCACCTACATTAAATCTGCAGGCTGGCTCACAAGCTAGGAGGTACCTATCATCTTAGGAGGATACACAATGGGCCTAGTGAGGCCTAAATGCCGTGGGGGTAACCCACCCGCTACATATCCAGAAGTACTGTAGGTAGCTGTAACTGCATTTCCATCGCATCCTTATAGCAGCGACTTGGTTTCTCGAAGTGAGTTTGTCATATATTCTAATTATTGTTTTGTATTATTGTTTTGTATTATTGTTTTGTATTATTGTTTAGTTACTGTTTTAATTTGATTGGTTTGAAAAACAAAAAAATAACATATTTATGTAAAAGACTAAGTAATTAAACGTAGGCGTAAATTATCATTATAGGTACTTAATACTTATTTAGAATTAAAAAAAAAACACTTACAGATAGATGCAAAAACGTTCAATAAAATTTACGAATATCTAATACAAATTTTAAAACTACTTTCTAATTACTACTTATTGTTAGTTAAATACAACTACTTAACTATATTGCAATTTTCACAAAACTCTAATAATAATATACCAAACGTTGCTCTTCATACTTTGACAGCTATATTTGACGTTAAACCACCTCTAAACCCTTAAAGAAAACTTGGCAGTTTTTTGTCCACGAATCGCCCATTTAGTTTCGCTTCTTGGGTAGGTATTCTTTGGTTAAAGGGCGCTATTTCACTCAAATATTGCGTGTCTTATTGAAAATATCTAATTTTTGATTGCAGAGAAAGAGTACAAAATTTCTAGAAGTCATCGAAAACCGTAAAACTTACTACATATTTTAAAATATAAATAAAAATATCTTTCTTATTTTATTTATTTTATTAAGAATTAAAATTTTATAAAATTCATTACCTATCTACCTACTTATATAAATATTTAAAAAACGGATTGTGATGATGCCGTGGCATTTTTTAAACGAATCAACCAAAAACAAAACAAACAAAAAACAACAAAATTATATACAAAGATTTCACTTACAACTACTTAAAACTACTGTAAAATTAACAAATTAATAGTTAATAATAGTTAATAATAACATTCACAAATAGATATTTTATAAAACATATAAATACCTCAAATATACCTCTAGTCTGTTTTCTTTGTAAATCATTTAAAATTACAGAGAGCACCTACGAAGAAAATTCCGACATAACCCACTATTTTGATGATTTAGGTGAATGTGAAGTTAAAAATATAAATAGTAAATAATTAAGAAATTAGAAAAGATTGGTAGTAAAACCAGTAGAGGACGGAGTAACTTAAAATGAGCTGAGACGGTTTGGCCAAGAATACCAGGTTCCAGGCTAACAAAAATAATAAACAACAATTTTTTGAACCTATTTAACCTTATTAACCTTATTTAACTGTCCCTTCTTTTGCATCTTTATTGGTTTTATTAGTTTCCTTTCTGGGTAGAGGCTGATTTTTTATAAATTCACTAAATGATTGTTTTGATAACTAAAGCACGTATGTCGTACATGCTGTTGGGGAAGTATATGATAATTAAAATGCATATGACATGAGTCAAGAAATTGTAGTCAAAATAATGGGGTTATTACAGAATTCGACAAATATTTTGGTAGATAATGCTTTGGTGTAACAAGATCTGTAAATTCAAGCACACTAAGATTTTGGAATCCAGAACTAAAGACCAATTGAACACGCTTCTGTCTAGTTTATTTTTTACCCATTCAGTAACTTTTTCATGAACTATTACCAAATAGCTAATCATTTTATTCTCTAAATTAAATTTCTTCTAATAACTAATTACTTAATCTAATTCCAGTTTCCTAAAACTTCCTGGTAAACTTCCGGTACCTGTATCATCTTGCGCGGGTGGTTTTCTTCTTCTGATTATTCCTCTGTCGCTAAGAAGATTCATGTCGTCGAAACTTAATAATCTTTTCCGTTTCAGTTCCATCTCCGTTTTCCACAATTTTATCATCTCTTTGGCGGGCATTTTTCCGCCAAACTCTAACGGTAAGCATTCCCTCTCCACTCTTTTGTGAAGTTGGTCCAGCGAACCGTGGATCTGAAAAAAATAATAAAATTGTAGCAGTCAATGTCTATATAAAGACCTCTAAGTTTCAATAATTGAGAACCCTCAAAATTAGCCTGCAAGATTTAAAATTGGACATGTCTAAGAAAAATTCCACTTTACTTTCAGTTTTAGAATTTTAGAGTGAATAGAAAAATTTAATGTGGACAATAGGCCAAAACAAAATAGTTAATTGTATTATATATTTATTAAAAAAAAAGAGAGAAGTTACATGTATATCGTTGTTAATATAACAATATAATAAAAAAGTAAAACTGATAAATTTCAACAGAGAAATAACAAATCCTCATAGTCACATATAGAACACTGGCTCCGCATATTTGTAGGCTCTACAGGGCAAGTTTGGTGCATAAGCATGTAACAAATACCTGAAAATAAAGCAGAGTGGTTTTTATACCTAAACCAGAGCGTCCAACATATGCCGTGTCAAAGGCCTACAGAACAATAACAGACGTCATTTCTACTAAACGGTTTGGAAAAACTGATTGATCAACATGTCCGGCAAACTACTCTGATAGAGAGGCCATTTTATACAAACCAACATGCCTATTAATCAGGAAACTGTTGTGAGTCTGCTCTGCATCATCTTGTAACTAAGATAGAAGGGGGACTTAGTAGCCAAGAAATAGCCCTGGAGCATTTCTTGACACAGGAGCAGCTTTAAATAATACCTAGAGGACACCATTTGCTGGTGGATAGAAGACATGTTACGCGGACGGCAAGTACAGGTACAAATGTTCAGTGAAACCATGCAGGTGAATATCCACAGGGTATGCCCACAGGGTGGAGTCCTTTCTCATTTACTGCAGAACCTAGTGGCAGATGAACTGCTGGAAACACTGAACCTAAAACTTATGCAAAGAGCTCTAAGGCTGACAGAAATGTGGTGCGTTAGAGAAAACCTCTTGGTAAAAGTTGACAAGGCACAACTCATAACCTTTAGTCGGAAAACAAGATTGGAAGTCTTAGAACCCCGACTTTGTTTGGAGGAAGGCTAAACAAAACGAAACAAGTAAAATATATGGGTCTAATCGATAGGAACCAACACTTACAAAAAGTGACCAACAAAATGTAAAATGTCTCTCATTGTAGGGAGACAAGCATTTGAAAAAACATGATGATTAAAACCGAAAATGGCCCACTGGCTATATTCGGCCATAATAGGACCCATTATAAGTTATGGAGCGGTTGTTTGATGCCCAAAAGTATACCAGAAACAGACCCTAAATAACCTCTCAGGAGTTTAGAGACTGCCATGCCTTTGTATTGTAAGAGCACTGAGAAGTACACAGACAGACTCTATGGTAATCATTTTAAATCTTCCATCCCATGACCTAGTCATAAAGGGGGAGGACAGAATAAGTAAATACAGATTGGATATCTCCAACAACTGGAACTCACTGGGACATATAAAACACGAGAATAACACATGAAGTAAATGATCCTATATTAAACATGGTATCAGATCACATGACACTCCGCCTAACCTTTAACAGACTCTTCCAGGTCAACTGCAACTGGAACTAGGTAAATAAAAGGGTAGAGAAATACTTGATCGGTCTCGTATGATATACGGATTGATCTACAACCAACAAGGGAACAGGCTCTGGCTTACATGAAGTTAAACCCAAAGGCGACATCATCAGCTCACTGGGAAAACATACCACTGTATTTCAGACTAAAATACATGCAATCGAATTGTGTGCACGAGAAAATTTAAGAATGAAGTACAAAAAACAAACCATTTTAATTCTCTCAGATAGCCAAGCAGCCTTAAAGGCTCTTGATTTAAACAGAATCAAGTCAAAGCTGGTCTGGAACTGCCTTGGAGTACTAAATGATCCGGCAACCCATAATAAGGTAACACTAGCGTGGGTTCCAGGGCACAAAGGTATCCAAGGAAATGAAAAGGTTGATGAACTCGCCAAAGAGGGATCAGAACTACCATTCACTGGACCCGAACCTGTATTTGGGATAAGCAAAACTTCTGGTAGAAAGGTAGTGGGTAACCATAAAACACCAAATTCAATGACGACAGATAAGAGGGCACAGATTCAGTAAGTTCATACTAAGGGAACCAAACCCACGCATGGCTACTGAGGCACTTCAACTCACAAAGTCTCTGATATCCACAATTGTGGGATTACTAATAGGGCATTGATTACTGAAACAGCTTTATGTGATAGGAATGCGAAGCTCTTGCTAGGCGGCGTCTCATCTTTTTCGGCCTAGAACCGGAAAGAACGCCCCAGGAACACTTGGTAAGGAACTAACCAAAGGCACAAGACTATTCCAAAGATAGTTCCTGAATACGAGAAAAGCAGGGGAATGCAATAAACCCAAAAGGCCGCAGTGTTTTGGGCTAAACCTAACCCTACCTGCTTGTAACCGATAAGGATGAAGATAAAAAAGGTATAGAATACAGCTCTAATTAATGTGAAACTTGGAATTGGAAGTTCAATATCTGGTGAAAGCAACATTGCTGGTACTTGGTTGGTACGCAGAAACGTGGACAATGTTTTCCAACTTAGTATCGATAATCCTTAATCTTTTTTGCTTTCGTGTTATTCGAGTTTAAAAAATTGCTCACAGCAATAAGTACAATATGACCCTAAATATACAGTAACTCTAATCAGAGATGCCATGAAAATGACAATGATGTCAAACTTGTTTTAACACGTTGATGGAGAGTACAAAATTAATCAGTGTTTTAAAAACAAATTCAAAGAATGTTTTACCGTTTTTCCTAAAATTGTAAAGTGTTGCTGTAGGACAGTAATTCTTAAAGAAATCATAATTATATCCAGAATATAACTGCTATATCAGAAGAATATTTTTAGAGACATTTTATTTTACTGCCATTTATAGCAGTAGGTGTCCTAGGTCAATAATTTTAAATTACTGCTACTCCATTAACGTGTTAAACACTAACTTGTTATCTGTCAGGGTATACAACATGGTCTGTGAACAAGATGCTTACAACCGAAGAAAATATTTTTATATGTGAAGCTTATAATCGCTCATACGAGTGGTGGGCATATAAAGCGTATGGCTATTATAATAGACACTACCTTTGTTATTTTTGTTAAATCTGTTAATATTTATAGGTGGAAATATATCCCACGTAGAAGTCTTGCAAAAGTACCTCATAAAACTGTCTTTTCAGAACGTCATAATTAAAAAGACAGAAAAAGCATTAAACATAATAAAATAAATCGCCAAAAGATATGAATAAAAATTTATAATGTATAATTAATCTAAATATAAAAAAAATGAATACGTTATAAATCCCCAAGTTAACTGCTGATGCTGACACGGAGACGTTGTACAATAGTAATCTTAAAATTTCTAACTCAAATAAAGTATCATGTTTTGTACCAATGTCTGAAATTGATATTCTAAATATTATCAAAAACTTTAAAAGAAAAGCTACGAGAGCAAATGGCATAAATATTTTAACATTGCATCTATGTGTTTCATTCCTATTACCTCACACTACCCACACCCTTGTCTATAAAACTCTGTTTTCTTTTTCCTGAAAAAGGAATTCATCACTGTTACAAAACAAAAATCCAGAAATTTAAAATGATCTTTGGCCAGTAAGTGTACTGTCAACATCAAAAATCCTAGAGAAAGTTATAAATAATCAATTAAAGAAACATAAATATAAACGAAATAATTCCTTATTTAGATTCTGGATTTAGACCTAGACACAACTGTACATATTATTTAAAAGTACAGATGATATTATTAGTGCTTATGACAAAAATAAACTTTCAATTTAAATTTTGTTAGATTTCTCCAAAGCTTTTGATAAACTTATTCATGACTTATTGTTCAGTGTTCCAGGCTGAACTAATAGCCATACAACACTGTGCAAGAGAAATACTAAATCAGTATCAGGCAAAACTATTGCCATATACTCTGAAAGCCAAGCAGTTCTAAAGGCAATTCTCTCACCAGAAATCAAATCACGACTGGTGAAAGACTGTCTAGAAGACCTGGCAGAGCTAAGTAGTCAAAACAAGGTGACCCTAGCCTAGGGATATCAGGGCAACGAAAAAGCCGACGAATTAACCCGAGAAGACTCAGATAAGGCCATCACAGGCACCGAACGCTTCTGTGGAGTTACTAAGGCATTGTGCAAGGAATCCATCAAACAATGGATGCAAAAAGAGTCTTAGGAATGGTGGATCAACTATCCAAGACTGAGATAGGCCAAACAGTTCATCAAGGAACCATCGACCAAGTTCACGAAATACCTACTGGAGCAAAAGCGTAAAATTGTTAGGATAACAGTATGTTTTCTTACTGGAACTGTCGCCCTAGAAGGCACATGAGTATCATCAATCCAGCAGGAGAAGCAACTTTGTGCAGATTCTGTGAAGAAGAAGAGAAAACATCAGTCCACGTCCTATGTCAATGTGAAGGCCTGGCTAGAATGAGGTTTCTAACATTGTGCGAAGAAAAGCCAAACGCATGCAACTACATGCGGGAGCCACTGTCAAAGCTACTTACTAAGTCTAATAAAAAAAGACCAAGCTAGACGACATACTCTAAAACAAACGGAGTCCCACAATAGATCTGAAAAGGTCGCGGTAGACAAGGACAAACAATGTCCAACTCCTTGTTAATCTAATCTATTGTTCAGTATTTTGAAATACAGTGTCATAAGGGATGAAACTCTACACCTAATGAAATATTATTTATCTAATAGAAATTAGGCAGTTAAATACCAAAGTAGTACATTCTCTTTTTAAAAATCAGTACTAGGGTTCCACAAGGGTCCATTCTAGGTCCATTACTCTTCTTAGTCTATACATCAAAGTTTCCTATAATATTCTTGTCATGTTTTCAGCACTTTTACGCTGATGAAACTCAATTGCACATATTATATTTCCCCGATAAAAGCGAACAAATAAAAGTTGCGATAAGTTACGATCTACAAAATTTAGAAACTTTCTCCAAAAATCATTGTTTAAAACTGAATTGAACCAAAACGAATTATATTATTCAGGATCAGGACATTGATTCCAGCAAGATGAACAGAGAGTAGCAGAACAAAAAAATCTGCAAAAAAAACTTAAGGCTGCCAAAGTAGCATTCATCTTATAACCCAGACACGACCCTGGGTGTTATCCCCAAAAGAAAAAAAACAAATATACTTACAAATACTCTAGACTTCATTTTTTCACTGGCAAGAGAAACAGCGAAATCGTAAACGAATTTGATGACTGATGGAAGATTCAAAACGTTTATTTCCTTGTGTCTCATTGGTATGGATTGCTAGAAAAAAAAATTGTATTAATGTCTAAACATCAGATTAGATTTTTAGAGAAATTTAACCCTATGATTCATCAATTTAAAGCGCTTACACTCGGTTTTAAGAACGTTTGTTAAATCTCTAAATAGTTAATAATCATATAACTTTAAGACTGTGGTTGAAGGTTATGTCATTGAGCTACATCACATTATCAAGCTATGTTAAATTTTATCGGACCAATAAATTGAAATAAAAATTTTACATTTTTATCTTTTTTATTTGCAGCTTCGACAATGATTGTAATGTACCTACATATTTTGGCTTTTCTTTGCTTGGGATTAGTAATCACAAGGGTACAGGACATGGATTGATGTTTTCTTTATATAAAAGTTCTATAATAGCGCTTCTTCTATTCGATTAATGACACCCACATGTCTTCTTACAAACATCAGTGTCCGGGAATCAGACCTACAACTAACGATTTGTCGTTTTTGGCTTAATATCTTTTTTTTTTTCTTGAACTGCTCTTAGTTCAATATGATTGTTAAACTATATCTGAAACTAATTTTGCAACCACGTTTCGTTCGAATGATTCCGACGGGAACCGAATAGTGCATCGTCTTATATGAGAATGGTACTGAAAGGCTCCGTTGGTAAAGTAGTTAATTATTGATTAAAATATGTGCAGGGTCAGTTGTTTAATAATTAGCCAATCAAATACAGTGAACAACCCCCCATCAACCAAATTTAAAATACTAAAGTTTAAATTGTAGATGTTGTAAACGACTATTGAACAACTGACCTTATAGATATCGGATGATATCAAATATTATAAATAGCAGATGACGTGTTTTAATAAATGCTTTAGCCAATCAAAGCCTTGTATGAATTCATTCTGGTACCCAGGATAAAACCTGTTTATTTTGTTTATATAGCTCCATCGGCTCTTTCAGTTATGACAAGTCTGGAAAGAGAATTGCCTTTAGAGCTACTTAAGCAGCAATTATTTTTCTTGATAGTTGCTGTTTTATCAATTATTTTGCACAGCTAGAGTTATGGCTAATAATCCTTTAGTTTGCACCACACTAGTAGTCGATTACCAGACTAATATCAAATGTGTTAAAAACCTTGTTTTGTAAATGGATTAAGAATAAACAATTTAGATTTGGTGAATTTACCCGTATATAGAGGCGCATGAGGGTCATTATATAGCTCAATACACTTTTAGTAATACAACTTACCTCTCCCCAGCGGACCATATAAGCAAAATCTGATACGGTAAATAGAGGTACGTGGTTCATACTTGCTCCGGAAACGTTTCCAACGTGGTTAAATCCTAAAACTTGATTCGTTTCGTCTTCCAATAACGTTTCGTATGTTATTACGTGTACCTTCGCCATGTCAACGCCAGAAAATTTATTTAAATCGAATTTGGCTGAAATTAAAAAATACAATGTTAACATCGGTAGACACTTTACTTTGAGAAAGTTGCTCTTTTCGAGGCTAGTCTGGGAAGTGACAGAACTTGTTTTACTAAATAACCATGTAATTAGGTTACTATAGGTATATAAAATGGTCGCATAAACTACCAAAAGACTAGTTTTACTTACATAAGTCATAAATAATAACTCTCCTCCCACACGAATCTCTGTATGGACTAACGAATAAGTAGCTAAAACAAAAAAAAAACAACATTAAATATACTAAAATATTAAATAACATTGAATCACAACGGAAGGAAATTTCTAAAGTTTCTTTTCAATTGTGATTTGGGGTGCTAACCGAGAATACCGATCAAGGAGAAGCGACAGTAGCTGTCGGTGCCTTTGATATCGGATGTACCTTTTTCACAGCATGACTTTGATTGATACACAACTTAGCACGCTGAGAAAACATGCATATTTTCTACACTGAGCGAAATAGTTTGGCAAATTATCTGAAATCATTGTTATAGTCCATACGCAAATGTTGTAATGTGATTTAATTACATTGAAGTAGTTAGGGTTAATAGCAATGGTGAAATTTCGGCACCAAAATATAATTCATTATGTAATAATTAATTATTTGTTATAAAAGTAAAATACGTTTAATATTTTATAATTTATCTATAAAATTTGTTCAATATTTGGTTTATTTATTGTTAAAAATGTAATAAAAGCCCCATATTTAAATTACCTTTTCCTTAAGTAAAAATAAGGTAAATAAAATTAAGGGTGTCAAAAAAAAATTTAGGTATCAATTAAAAAGACATTAAGTTTGAGATTTTTAAGTAAATATTTGCAATGTGCATATATGTTCAAAGCTTTTAGGTTTAAAAAGTACTTTTTACTATTTTTAGAATTCCTAGATTTATATTATATTAAAAGGACTTTCAAGTTTATTACTCATTTCTGTAGAAACAAGCGTTTTTTCGCCAAGTTAAACCAGATGTCATTTAAGGTTTATGTATTTAGAGTTAAATACCTGGCCTGGCTATCACCCAGACAATACAAATATGTCCATTGGACTCCATTCGATATACAATTTTGGATGTCTAGACGTCCAAAAATGAGTTTTCTATACTTCCGACATTCAATGGACGTCCAGTGAAGTATACAAATGGCACACTTTTGACCATTCAGAGGACGTCCAATTCTGGACATTCAAAAAAGGTCCAGGATTATATTTCCATTGAGACCACATCCCCACTTTTTTTACAGAACCGCAACTCACCACACACTATTTTATATTATTAATAATTTGTTTATTATTTTCGCAAACCGCTATACACTATTTATTTTTTATTAAAAATCGCTTGACCTGAGCAGGAATCGAACTCACGACACATCCATTATCGGTTTACGCTTTCAATCGCTAGATGAGATCGACCAAGGAACCACTTGAAAACGTTTTACTAGATATAGTTATAATTGAATAAGATTTCAAACTTCCGCTGATATAATGAAATGCAATAGATTCAAATTGTCAATTTTTAATTACCAGTTATATTAAAAAAAAGAAGTATATATAAATGGGTATTATCTGGTAGGCTTAATAAATAATGACCTAAGATGGACGTCCACTGGATGTCAAAATACTAGTAAACTTAAAATTAAGTCCAAAAACAGACGTTCTCTGGGTATCGATATTCAGCTGTCAATTTAATTAGCATAAACGGACGTACACTGGATGCCCGGATATGGACGTCCTGACCCTCAAATAGATCTAAAGTGGATGTCCATTGGACTATGTATGCATAGACGAATTTTTAGAAATAGTACTTATTTAAGTATGCACCAATATTTCCAAAATCAACTCCAGTATGATTCATTCAATAAATGTAAATATGAATGGGCAAAACATCTTTATATTGACATAATTGTAACTTACAATTTAGCCATAATAAAGGGATTTCGCCCACTTTGACCAATCCTAATTGAAACACGCGAATTTATTATATTTTTTAAAATATAATTTCAAAATAAAATAAACAAAATCTGCAGTTCATTGTTTATTAAATTTATTGAAAAGAAGAAAAACATATATTTCACAAAATACAATACCTACATATGAAAAATAAAATGTCAAAAACGATTAAATCATTATACTTAATATTTATGCATGTGATAAAATTCTTAGTTTCCTAATAACTTTTCGGGTATAAATCGAAAAAAATCGATCGTACAAAAAAAGCAGAATTGTAGGAAATTTAATTTTAAATAACTTTTGTAAAAACTATTTTCCGTGTAAAATTGAAAATAAATGAGTTATTCAAGATACAAAAAATAACCCTTTAAATCAAGCTGGCGGAGGTAACGACAACTTTGGAATCCCAACTTTTTGAATTTAGACTACCACAGACCCCCTCCAACGAATTCCGAAGGAAAATTGCTGCTTCGAATTTTTCAGAATCTCAAGCCTGTTCTTCACCTAATCCGATTGGGCTATAACATAATTTTGAGTGATACACAACTTATTTTCGCACATGCGCGTTACAAAACGGTACACTGAAAACACCAAGCTGTCGCTTCTCCTTGATCGGTATTCTCGGGTGCTAACTTAGATTTTATTGAAACTGTGACTGGTTGTGGTAAATCAATTTATTCGCTGGCCAGCATACAATTTGAGATACAACAAGTGAGTAGCGAGGAGTTTAGGGCAACTACTGCTTTCTTTTTCGTGTTGGTGTGGTTTTTTCTTACATAATACTGCCGTCAAAAAAAAATAATAGAGAGTTGAAGTATTTCCAGTACGTTAACGTAAACGTGAACGTTAACGCAGAAATATAATGTTTATGTTGAAGCAAAGAATACCTACCCAAGAAGCGAAACTAAATGAGTTTTCGTATGTAGGTACCAAAACAAGGGAACTTAATACACTGGAAAAATATGAAAATTAATCAGTTTTTGTCGTTTGGTTCATAAGAATTAAACACATACTAAAGTAACAATGACAGACAGAAAATTCTTACTATGTTCATTATGTCAAATAGATTATTTTAATAACGAAATAAGTACTGTAGGTACAATAATGACAGTCACTACACAATAGCGATAGCAGATGACCTGGTCATTCTGCAAATATTAGGAATTTTGAGTACAATTATGGAATTATGAAAGACAGAAATAATCCTTTTCCCAAGGAAAATGATGAAAATGGAATTAAAACCTACAGAGCTCCTAAATACAAAACTAAACTTTGCAACAGATGTGAAGTACCTTTGACAACAAGTTAACTTGGAACTGACACTTATAAACAGAGTCAAAAGAGCATACATTACTTATGAACAATGCCGCCGAACCGTGGGGCGCACCTGGGGTTTCTCCCCCAGAGTCGTCACGTGGACTTACTTGGCCATCATAAGACTTATGTCAACATACGGTGCAGTTGTCTGGATACCGAAAATCCAAAAATTGACAACTATCCGCAAAATAGAAACAATCAAATAACAGTATGTCTCAACATAACAAGAGCCATGAAAACCTCACCAACCAGAGCCATGTCTCACTCTCCTTGATATTTACATCAAGGAGTTTGCTATGATGACAGTGACACGGCTCTGCACGGTTGGAATAGAACCTCATGTACAATCTGGTGGGACGAAACATCGCTTTTGGCAAAAGGCGCTTGATACACTCCCAGTGCCTTAAGCGCACATGAACTTCATCTCACCAAGATATATCTTCCATAAGCCTTATGAAGTTATAACAGAACAAATAGAAGAGCCGGAAGTGGTATCCATCCAACAATATGGTCGCCTTAAGATGGATCAAAGGTGACGCCACATCGAAAGGTAGCTGATTCACTAGCCAAGAAGGCGGCCAATCAAATATTTTTTGTACCTGCCCCTTCAATTGGATTGACAACATCGGTAGTGACAGATATTTAATCAAAGAATATTCCCTTGTGAAATTCAAGGAAAGATGGGATGGAACAAGAAACTGCTGAGTTACCAGGGAGCTTTTAAGTTACCTTGATAACACTACAACAAACAAATACTTGACTATGATTAGACAGAATCTGCATCTCATCACAGGAATTCTGACTGGTCATTGCCAAGTACGGAAGCATCTTTATATTATGGGGCTGTCAGAATCTGCACCCTGCAGGGAGTGCAAACAAAAAGATAAGACCATTGAACATATCCTCTACGATTACCAGTCGCTCTCATTTATTGGAAGATTTGTTTTCGACGAGTATTGGTTAACACCGGCCGACATAAGAGAAGTACCTCTTAGCAATGTTGTCAACAACATTAAATCTGTAGGCTGCCTCACGAGCTAGGAGGTGCTTATCATTTTAGGAGGATACACAATGGGCCTAGTGAGGCCTTAGTGCCGTGGGTAACCCTTCCTCTACCCGTTACATATCCAGAAGTACTATAGATACAGCTGTAAATGTATTTTGATTGCATCCTGATAGCTTGGTTCCTCAAAGTGAGTTTGTCATATATTTTAATTATTGTTTTGTATTATTGTTTATTTACTGTTTTAATTCGAATGATTTGAAAAACAAACAAAAATAATATATTTAAACAAAAGTCTAAGAAATTAAACGTAAGCGTAAATTATCAATATAGGTAATACTGATTTAGAAATTAAAAAAAAAACATTGACAGCCAGATGCAAAAACGTTCAATAAAATTTACGAATAACGCAATTTTTTTTTTTTTCATGTAATACAAATTTTAAAACTATCTAATTTCTAATTACTATTAGTTAAATACAACTACTTAACTATACTGCAATTTTCACAAAACGCTAATAATAATATACCAAACGTTGCTCTACAAAATTGACAGTTATATTTGACGTTAAACCACCTCTAAAACACTGAAAAAACTTGGCAGTTTTTTGTCCACGAATCGCCCATTTAGTGTCGCTTCTTGGGTAGGTATTCTTTGGTTGAAGTCCAAAATCAGAGTTGAAGTTGTAAAACGCATCGTGACGTTTACGTATCATGACAGATAATGACAATTAATATCAGAATTTCTACTTTCCCAATTAAAAAAAGGTTATTTTGTTTGCGTTGCGTACATACGTCAGAGTCCGTAAGCTTACGTATGTACGTAGACGTGAACGTGAAGGATATTTAAATACGCATGCGTAGATGTCAATTTTCACGTATACGTTTACGTTCATTGCATCACTTCAACTCTCGAATATCGTTATGACAGTTACCAAAGCAACTCTTATATACATGTTGATTAATTTTCTTGTTAAAAAGTGAATTTTTAACAAACATAAAAGTCATTGAAACTTATAAAAACCCATTTAAAGAATAAAACCCCACAAAAACATAAATCCCCATAAAAAATATCAAAACCCCATAAAAAAATCATAAAACCCCATAAAAAAACATAAAACCCAATAAAAAACATAAAACCCCATAAAAAAACATAAAACCCCAAAAAAACAAAACCCCCATAAAAACCATAAAACCAAGAGAAACAGAACCGTGTGAAACAAAAACTTTGTACAATAACTAATAATTTATGTAGAAAAGAAGTTTATTTGGGTAAATACTTACCCATTATCTATGATCTGACTAACATTCGGGTCTTCACAATCCATGTTATACATAAAATGTCTGAACTTTTTCTTGAAATTTAAATATTTTAACAGAGTCTGTTGCGCCATGTGGAGGCTGAATTTTTTTACACGAAGAAAACGAAGTAGGAAAAGGTCATCTGAAAAAAATACTTGCAATTAACAATAATAGATATTTATTATTTTTTTATACAAATTATAATTGTATTATTTATGTATGCAAATGAACAAAAATGTATTGGAATAGATTCAATATTTCACAAATATGGAAATTGTTAGGAGAGAGCCATTTTATTTCGAAGCTTGCAATGTTTTTAACAAATTTTTAACCTAAACTTTGGGCTCACGAAGCTTGCGCAGGGGTAGATAACGATAGTGAGCAGTACTCGTGCGATTTTTGTCACTGTTAATTTGTTTTCTATTATAAATATAAGACGCATAATGTGGTCTGTTTTCAAGTTCAATAAATATATTTTACTTTAATGTCTTCTTTATTCGTATTCAAACACCAACCCATTTTACCCGACCAGGTGAGCAACACGGGATACTTCACCTTTTTTTAGAAATATGACTTTTTCTATGTTATTGTCAAAATATTCAGGGACTATATTTAATCATATAAAGGTGTCAATGGAAAAGTTACAGTTAAAAAATAGTAAAAAACAGCATAAGGACGATGAGTCATTGCATGCTGTTAAGGGCTAATATAGATTACCGAGGAGTCTGCAAATTGTGTGACATGTAAATGATCTACAGCCATTGTACCTAAATAACTATCGTTAATTTACATATTATAACTTTTATGTAGCAATTGTTCTTCCGACTCGATTTAGTATGTCTACGAAAGACAAATAATTATTAGTCCAACTAGTTCTTACCGACATGATTGCTCAAGCAACAAATATGCATATTTAGACAAGTAATCAAATGTTTTAACATTATCCTATTACATAAAAAAAATGCGTGGTGCCAACACAGAGTAATATTTACAAGTTTCTCAACTCGAATATGTAATAAAAAAATGTTTCGGCTGATTCAATGTTTAAACTAGGTTTGAAATAATGAGTAATAACAATGCGCAAACGAAGAGATAGAAACAGGAAAAGGAAAGTTGATGTATGTTAAGCATCACGTGCTTTATCGTTTTAACGAAATGCAATTTTTTGTCATTTTGATGGAATATAATATTTAACAATGTTAGATTAAATCGTCATTGTGTCGTGATATAATCATAAAAATAAACGCAGTACCCGTATCCCACCAGTTGACTAAAAGTTAAATTAATAATTGAATCAGTGAATCCAAGAATAGTATAAATCCAAAATAATTATTTTAAATTATTTTATAGAAACTAAATAACTTATTTATTGTTAAATGTTGTTTTGGTAGACACAGACAATAATAATAATAATAATAATAATAATAATAATTTATTTATCAAAAATAATATAAAAACAATGTACAATGTATATCAATTTAAGTTCGTTCGAGATAAATAAACAGAAACACCCACAAAAAGAATCCTTGAGCATGGGTTATTATTGGTTATTTAGGACGAGCAGTCTTAATAAAACACAATATTACAATATTATAAAAAAAATGAAAAATTATACAAAAATAATATTTGGAATAATATGAAAAACAGTTACGTAATACTAAGTTTAATTTAATATTAATATTTACATTTTATCAACTTTTTTTTTTTTTTTTTCTAGACAAATTATTAAATTAAACTAGTAAACCAGTCTAAAACATTCGTTATTTGTTGAAATAAAACGTTGCAGCTTCGCAGTAGGGATAGAATATATCCATTTTTTTATTTTTACTTTGAATAGATTTAGGGAATAAATGCTCTTTAATTCTAACGGTATTTCATTATATAATTTGGGACCCAGGTAAGCATAACTTTTTTGCCCTATAGTTTTTTTGGCTTTAGGTATTACAACATTATTTAATTTATATCGTTTTTTTAAGGTGAAGGGGGGAGAAAAAGTCCTTTATATCTCACAAGGAAAGTCAATGTTTAATTATTCAACAAAACATTGAGTGCGACCGGTTTCGAAGTAACATCACTTCATCTTCAGGCTCGCCTAGTGGAAAGGAGAATATGTGGTGTAAGGTGTGTTGACTTTACACCACATATTCTCATAGGATTACTTACATCTCCTGCAATACGCACATATTGTGTTCTATCTGTGAGGTAGCTTTGCAATAATTTTGAAGCAACTCCTCTGAGACCTATGTTTTCAAGAACAGATATTAATTTTTTGTGGTCTACCGTATCAAACGCCTTGGCTAAATCAATGAATATGGCTATGGAAGGATGTTTTTTATCAAGGGAGTTATTTATTTTACCAACCAAGTCGGCTATGGCATCGGACGTTGACATATTTTCTTGAGAACCATATTGATTTTTGAAAAGAACGTTGTATTTATTAAGAAACGATGTTATACGTTTTTGTAATATTTTCTCGAATATCTTAGCAATAGTGGAGATTAATGAAATTGGTCGATAATTAGAAGGTTTCAACTTATCGCCATTTTTATATTGTGGTAAAATTTCGGCTAATTTTAGGGATTTCGGAAATGTGCCGCTTTGAACGGAACGATTGAATAAGTAACACAGGATAGATGCAATTTCTTTACTTACCTCTTTTAGATTTTCAGAACGAATCCCATCCCATCCTGGAGATTTATTATTTTTTAAGCGCATAATAGTTTCGATTATTTCAGTATTATTTGTTTCAGATATATATATTGTTTTAGCTATTGTTTTTTCCCTAACGGTATTGATGACTCGTTTTTTACTTTTTATTTCATCGGCCATTTTCTTTCCAACATTTGTAAAATACTCACAGAAGATATTAGCTATTTCCACTGGGTTTTGACTCACTATATTATTGGGTGTTTCAATTTCTATGATAGGCTTCTTTTAGTTTTGTGGGTTGGATATTTCTTTGACACACTCCCATAGTTTTTTATTAATATTTTTGTTTTTCTCTATTCTTTCATTATAATAATTACCCTTGACTTTTTTTATAAGAATATTTAAATTATTTCGATGCTGTTTAAATTTTGCTACATTTTCTGGAGAAAAATTAATTTTCATTAATTTATATAATCGATTTTTTTCATTTATTGATGTTATAAGAGCAGGCGTAATCCACACTTTACGTTTAATTTCGTTTCTCTTAATTTTCTTTGTAATTGTCGCTCGTTCAGTATATGATTTTATTTTACTTAGGAATTTATTTATACCAGCATCTACATTATTTTCTGAATATATATCTAACCAATTTTCTTTATTTATTAAATATTTAAATTTTATTTTATCAAACACTATTTTAGTCCTTTCTACTGAGTTTTTTTGTTTTGTTCCAGGCATAATAAAATGATTGACTACAGAATAGTGATCAGTTATATGTGTTTGTAGTATAATAGGAATATTTTTGTATGTTTTAATGTTTGTTTTCATAAATATATGGTCAATGCAAGATTTTTCATTACCTAAAATTCGTGTATATTAAGCTCTCAAAGCCTACTTCGCTTAATGTATTTAAGTAATCATGGGCATAATTCAAGTTATTATTCAAAATGTTTATGTTAATATCACCAGTTATTATATGAATGTCTGAATGTTTACATTGTTTTAAATAATATTCTAGATCATTATTGAAAGTAGTCGGATTTGATGGACATGGTCTATAGATACCATTTATTAATATAACTTTATTATTAATTCTAGTAGTAACTTCTAGAATACTTATTTCCTGAAAATTTATTAAAGAATATGAGCAGTGATATTCTTTTTTTGCAAAAATTATTACTTCGTCACATTCATTAAAACTGCCATCATTATAAAATAAATCATAACCACTCAACTGATATAAAGTAACCGGTGTGAACTTAGCAGCCAATTTCTAGCAGCCAAAATTCCGAATATTACCGAATGATCAGTAGCGTCGTTTAAATAGAAGTAATTAATTATTAGGTGAGAAATAGGACAAAAACAATTGAAATTTTTACTGAAATTTGATAATAGGATGTTCTTTTAATTGTCACAACAATATTAAAATTAAAAGGACAATAGAATACTTTAAAAATATTATTACTATTTTATTCGACAAGGTAAGAAGTCACATCAAAAAGTATTTTACAATATGTATAATGGTAGTATTAACTCAAACAAAAAATATGATAGATATATTAACAAATTCCCACAAGGGTAAACTACCCCGTAATAATAAAATATTTATTTTGTCAGAGAAACAAATAAGTTATCACTTTAAACTGTGTTTTAAAATATTTTTATTTGTTAAAATACGTTATAATAAAAATAGGAATTACTGTAGACACTCCCAACAGGAGTAAAATGCCCTTTAAAAAAATTAGTTGACCAAAGAAGGAAATAAAGTATCAATCTCAAATGTGATCGAAAAAACTTCTATTAGGGTTATATACTTACAGTTGAAATATGAATTACTAGCGACCCTCCCAACAAGGGTAAAATACCCTTAGGATAATAAAATAAGTAGTTTACCAAAGAAAAAAATAAATTATCAATTTTAAATGTGCTACAAATAACTTCTTTTAGTGCTATATACTTACAGTAAAAATATGAATTACTAGCGACCCTCCCTACAGGGGTAAAATGTCCTTAGGATAATAAAATAATAAGTTTTCCAAAGAAGAAAATAAATTATCAATTTTAAATGTAATCTAAAACACTTCTATTAAGGTTATATACTTACAGTAAAAATATGAATTACTAGCGACCCTCCCAACAGGGGTAAAATGCCCTTAGGATAATAAAATAATTAGTTTTCCAAAGAAGAAAATAAGTTATCAATTTTAAATGTGATTAAAAAAACTTCTATTAGTGTTATATAATTACAGCAAAAATATGAATTACTAGCGACCCTCCCAACAGGGGTAAAATGCCCTTAGGATAATAAAATAATTAGTTTTCCAAAGAAGAAAATAAGTTATCAATTTTAAATGTGATTAAAAAAACTTCTATTAGTGTTATATACTTACAGCAAAAATATGAATTACTAGCGACCCTCCCAACAGGGGTAAAATGCCCTTAGGATAATAAAATAATTATTTTTCCAAAGAAGAAAATAAATTATCAATTTTG